ATAATAATAATAACTTAAGCAAGGTCGTAAAAACTGCATCTAAACCAAAGATCGGTCCGATGATGAAGAAAGTTTACAATATTATGAAAAAGAAGAGATATTAAATGTTTTTAGGTTTCCTGGAATATACACACAACAATCGATTGTGTCTACTGCATTATAAGTGTTTATACCAAATTTAGTGATATTTTAACAGTTAATTCGTTTTTACTTCATTTTTCTATGTTAAGTTAAGTTAAGTTTTATAAAGGGCGGAAATACCTATGTACTGGCATTAGTTAATCACACTCATTTACAACGTAATCCTTAGACTATTTTCAGCTCAGTGGAAGGTGGCCTAAACTCATCACCAGACCTGGAAAACCATCGAACGCGGCGGCCTCTTCCTAAAGAACAATCATCCTACTGCCTCTTTTTATCTAACCAATTTGTTTATTGCTGCGAAGACTGGGGCCTGGGTGCTTGTTAATCGCCTCATTCCGGTACACCAGCTAGAATTTCGTGAACCACATAGTACTGTAGAACAGGAGCATCGTGTGGTGGATGTGATTAACAAAAGTCTTAAGAAGAGGTACTGCTCTGCCGTTTTCCTCAACATGTCAATATGCGTGATTCCCACATGACTATTAAAGTCATATTCAAATTGTATTTGAATGGCGTGCACGTTTAGGTCAAGTACACAGATTTAAGAAATATATTTTTATAATATTAATTGAATACTTTAAATAAATCTCAAAAACAATTTTTTTTTATTTATTTATTTATTATTATTAAAGTAATCTATCATCTGATATAGCTTTACGAATTAGGTAAAAATAAAATAAAAAAGGACACTAATACTTAATGAAGATAATGTATTCTGTTCATCCATTTTGAAAAAAAAAATATAAGCTGTAGCTTATGTTAAATTATGTATAAAATAACAAAAAAAATAATAGAAAGATGAAAATACCAAATTCCTTAATATAAAAAAAATATGTTGACAACATAATAAACACGGTTTCACAAAGAAAGGCATTGTATAATAGAAATATTCTAATTTTAAACAAATTTCTGCAATTAAAATTTAAAATGCAATAAAAAAAACAATCTAGTTTTGCTAATTTTAAATTACAAATCTCAAAAATGAGATATTTATTAGAAAAAACTTATAAAAGTTTTAATTAATAAGAAAAAATAAATAGTAATTATACATTCTTATGTTTCATGAGGTTTGTTAACAATTTAATTATATGCGAATTCATGCAAATTTTTCGCATGCGAAATGAAACGGAATTTTATTTATATAGTTTATAGTGTACATTACAAAATGTTATTATTTCAACACATTTTGTAGATTATAAAGTAGGATATATGCAATATTACATAAATGGATGAAACACGTTTTTTCAATTAAATTTTTCGTTATATTTTAATAGTACTACTATATTCATTATTATCAAGTGTATATTAATATATTATATTGTTTCCATATTTTTAATATTTTAGTCTTCAATTGATACCAACTAAATATTTGTAGAATTGTAGGGCAGAAATTTCATTTAAAATTTAAAAAAAGCAATAATTTTGGATATAGAGTGGAACCTCGCTTAACGAGCAAAATAAATTGTAAGAAAAATTATTCCATATTGCATTATCGTATATATTACATTAGTTTATATGGGGAACATTGTTTCACTATACGAGTAAAAATCCGGAAATTTTGGATTATGCTCGTTCCACTGTATAGTGGAACCTCACATAATGAGCATAATTTGTTCTAATTATTACTTGTAACGTCAAATACTCGTTAAGCTTGTTATGCGAATTACTTGTTATGCGTAGTGCTTGTAGCGTATAGTGTATAGAGCAGTGATTCCCATACTATTAACATAAAGTTTGTCCTGAGAGAGATCAAAGTTTTGACTTGAGGCGGAAACCGAAATCGTTTGAGAATGGCAGGTATAGAAGAATTTGTGTTTAAAAAAATTCAACGTTATTATAATCTAATAATTGTTTTTTTTATTGCTTTCGTTTTTCTTTCATAATATCACATTGCAGTCGATCAATTTATTGTTCTGGTTGTGGGATGTGGGCACCTTGTGGTTGGAAACCGTTCTCATCAGCTACATAGGTGACAGTGTAAGTAACTCCATCGTCACCAACGTATTTGAATTCACCCCTGACGGCGATGGCTTCGTTGTCGGTACCGGCGTTGATTACTTGTCCTTCCTCAGAGGCGGCGATTCCGTTGCTGGTTTCGTATCTAAATATTGCTCACACATTAGCACACAAGAAGGCAATAAACTTATAGCTAACTAACCCGTATTTGTATCCTTCGACGCCAATGTTGTCTGAGTCGAATTTGACAATGTGGGCATCCTTGTCTTGGTGTTGTGGGGCGGCCAAAGCCACGGCAACGAGAGCGGCGAAAGCTACGATCTGCATCGAAATAAATAATATTAATATATAAATTGTATACTGGACTTCGAAATACTAACGAATTTCATGTTGAATTGGTTCTGGGGAATTGAACTATGCTCATCTTCGTTTTCGTCCGATTATATATATCTCACAACTTTTGTCACCTCCAAACCCCACCATCAAAAATTTCATTGAAGACCTTCACCAGAAGATCACAACGCAATCGCTATGTTACATCCTCATTAACAAAAAAATGTAATAAAATATCCATCTTCATTTTAGTTGTCATTTATTCGCTATTAATAAAAAAAACAGTGTTTTATTTATAGCTGTGTTTAGAATATTTGATTATTGAAATATAAAACATATTTTTGAATATAGAATAAATTAATATATCAAGAAAAACATAATTACAATATACATAATCTTTTCCGCGTTAGAATAAAAAAAAACAAATTAAACTTTGCCCATAGATATAGTTAAACCCTACAAATTTATATACATAAAATATAGTCAAAATGTTTTATTTTATTAAACTAACAAAAAATAATAATAAATGGGGTAAAAATACTGTGGCTATTGAGCCATTATAATTATTTGCAATTTCTTAAAGATTTATTTTTATTTACAGCAGAAATGTAATATCCAATGACATTCTAATAGTGTTATTATTGTATTTTGATATATTTATCAATGAATATTTAAATTGATGCGTTCTAATCTCAAATAAACAAGAACTATCTGTTTGAGAGGGGAGCGAGAGTAGATTGAAGAGCTATATAAGTTGAAGCAACTGGCTATTAGATCATAGTTCAACATAGTTTGTAACATCACAACAACAACATGAAATTCGTTAGTACCATTATTCTAATTAAAGCATAATATTAAATCATGCTTTTTATTTCTTTGTTCATAGATTGTAGCTTTCGCCGCCCTCGTTGCCGTAGCTTTGGCTGCTCCACAACACCAAGACAAGGATGCTCACATCGTTAAATTCGACTCTGACAACATTGGAGTTGAAGGATACAAATACGGGTAATTAAAACATTTAAGGAATCTTTACAATGATACTAAATCTTGTACAATATTTAGATACGAAACCAGCAACGGAATCGCTGCTTCTGAGGAAGGACAAGTAATCAACGCCGGTACCGACAACGAAGCCATCGCCGTCAGGGGTGAATTCAAATATGTTGGCCCAGATGGTGTCACCTACACTGTAACCTATGTAGCTGATGAGAACGGTTTCCAACCACAAGGCGCTCACATCCCACAACCAGAACAATAAATAAAAACGATTTTCCATCCTGATATTCTCATGTAAATAGTAGCTAAATAAATTGTTGAATCTTAAAATATTTAGTTTATTTATTCTTTGAATCTGCACACCTCAACTTTTGTCGCTAAGATGAAAATGTGACATAAACCATGAATAGAAGTACTACATAATTTCTCAACCAAACATTTTAATTTGTACTTCTACTGCAAACCAATAGTTTATAATGGTATTGTACTACAAATATTAACGTCACTGCGTTTTTTTATGCATGGTAACAGCTGTCATTTCTCTACACATTAATCATTTAATGTATTGATTGGGTCACGATACATAAGTTGAAAAACGCTGATATAGATACAATAATATAAACTAAAATTCTATTTAGGCAAAAATATTACAAGTTTCCTATCAAACTTTATAAGTCTAGTTATTATATTTCTCACTTAAGCACGTTTTTATTCTATTTTATATAACAATGTCCCTCCATTACCTAGGTTACATCAATGATTTTTTCTTTTTCAAAATAATGATGAATCGAAATGTTTTTATTTTATAGTATGAATATTTTAGTCTTTAAATAATATATATTCAAATTAGTTATACATTTTGTAAATAAAAAAAACATATTGAAAGTCATTGACCCTTGCACATACGAAAAATAAAGTCTGTCAGTCACTCTGTACAAACTATGAACATAACGAATGTTTGGTTACATACTTCTGTTTTTGCTTGATTTATGATATAATTCATCTAATGCGACTAGTTTTTGAATTAATTTAGTATAATGGATGATTTTCTAGGAAGAGTAACAAGTTTTAACATCCGATTCAGCAACTTAATGTATATTTTATGATGAATATACTTTAAATGTTATTTTTATTGATTTAATCTTTATAACAGAATAACACTGTAATTAATGGTAACTTTATTTGGAAGTTTTTATATTGTTAATTTAGAAATACATTTTATTTACATTGATTTGTTATTAATCTAAAATCAATTTTAATGAACAATTAATTTTTTCAGAATATTTTCATCCTATATTATTCTTCTATTCTTAGTTAGCAAATGAAAGAAATATGCTAATATTTTTATAACAAAAAAAACTTGAAATCATGTAAAAACAAGAATCCACTTTAATGTTTCAATATTAAAATTATTATGCACAAATGATATAAAAACTGACTAGGGTTAAACCTTGAAATGCTCATATAATAATTTGATAATCATGAGACTAAAAGAGAGAGTGCATCTGGACAAATCTCGACAGTATAAAAGATTAACTAATCAAACGGATGAGCACAGTTCTACACACACTCGAACTCAATCAACAACCATGAAATTCGTTAGTTACAATTCGTTAATTACCAATTAAGCAATGGATAATAATGTTTCTTGCAGATTGTTGCTTTCGCCGCCCTCGTCGCCGTAGCTTTGGCTGCCCCACAACATCCAGACAAGGATGCCCATGTTGTGAAGTTCGACTCTGAGAACATTGGAGTTGAAGGATTCAAATATGGGTACTGTTATTACTTCATCATTTGCACAATTATTGTACTAATATCAAATTAAATATTTAGATACGAAACCAGCAACGGAATCGCCGCTTCTGAGGAAGGACATGTCATCAACGCCGGTACCGAGAACGAAGCCATAGCCGTCAGTGGTGAATTCAAATACGTTGGTGCTGATGGTGTCACTTACACTGTAACCTACATCGCCGATGAGAATGGTTTCCAACCACAAGGCGAACACATCCCAAAAGCTGACCACTAAACATACCCTTTGACTTCGACATTGATTTCCTGTTGTAAATAGTATTCCAATAAAATGTTTGTTTCATATATTTGAATTTTTCTTAATGGAAACAAGTAATATTGCAAATATTTCCCTCTCAAATCTACACAAGTTTTTTCTTCTAAATCACATCAATCTAATCTATATTATTTTGATACACAAAACATTATTTTGAAAACATAATTTGACATTTGACAAATCAATAAAAAGCATTCTGACTTTATCAACTAATGACTAATAAACATTAGGACTATTTATAAAATAAATATAGTTGAAAGATGTCAATCGATGTCTACTTAGAATATTAATTTCTTTACAAACAATATCTTAATTTTTCAACTTAAAACAAATAGAGTGGCAATTACATAATGTGTTAAACTAAAATATGTATAAGTTGTTCTAAATGTGTTTTGAAGTGCTGAAAATATATTGAAATATTCAATATATTTGAAAACATAAAAAATCATTTGCATACTTGGACATTTACACTTTATTCAACAACCCTTTGATACAAATTAGTACCAATACAAATGTGTATATAATATTTTTTAATTATAAGAGCTGACCTTCATTATCCATGAATACTTATTCAAAACCCCGACAATCCCATTAAAATAGTTAAATAATATAGAGGAGAGTCAAATAAACAAGTGCTGAGAACATGTCGAAATGGATATGCATTAATTAGAAGAAGAAAAAAACTAGTTGTCTAAAGTTGTTGACTTTGAGATGATTTTTCAAATACCATCTCTTCGATTTATTATTGCAAGTATAGAAGATAATTAATTATCTACTTTTTTATCAACTTTTTGTAATTAAATTTTAAATAAGTAATATAAACGATACATTACAATGTGTTTATTTTAAATTAAATTAAATTAATATATAATTTTTCTTTCATTAAAAACACATATTTTTAATAATATTAAAAACTATTTTGGCTTTGCTTTCTCAATTTGCATTAATATCTTTCTTAATCTTTGAATTATCTTGATTTGGTATATATGCAATATAATTATCTTAATATAAATATTTCATTAACTCTAACACTAGCAACTCTCGTTTTTATAATTTCAAATAATCCATTAATCCATTTACACTAAATCAATTTCCATCATGTAATATTGATGTTTAATGCAATGCAGATGTTCAGTGTTCAATCTACTGATGTTTCCATATTATATAAGAAAGACACTTTTTTTATTAAAGAGTTGAATATTATAATATTAGATAGTTTTAGTCTATTTTATAATGAATTTTTGATGACATCAAGGTGGGGGATTCACCGTATAAAAGATTGTCAAAACTATGATTCTTCACAGTTCACAATAGACTTGTAAACATCAACCAACAACATGAAATTCGTAAGTTGACTAGTTTCACTTGTTTAGGGCAACACAATTTAATAAATGCCTTCTAGATCGTCGCTTTCGCCGCCCTCGTTGCCGTAGCTTTGGCTGCTCCACAACACGAAGACAAGGATGCCCACATCGTAAAATTCGACTCTGACAACATTGGAGTTGAAGGATACAAATACGGGTAATTAAAGCATTTAAGGAATCTTTACAACGATATTAAATCTTGTACAATATTTAGATACGAAACCAGCAACGGAATCGCTGCTTCTGAGGAAGGACAAGTAATCAACGCCGGTACCGAGAACGAAGCCATCGCCGTCAGGGGTGAATTCAAATACGTTGGCCCAGATGGTGTCACCTACACTGTAACCTATGTAGCTGATGAGAACGGTTTCCAACCACAAGGAGCTCACATCCCACAACCAGAACAATAAATGCACCTATTTTCCTCAATTTGATCTTGATTATGTAAATAGTATCTTAATAAAACAATTGTTGTAATTATATTCTTATTTCATTACTACGGTAACCACCCTTCATTCAAATAATAAAAAAATATAATTTAAAAATTCGTAATTTATATTAGTCAAATATATATAAAATATTTTATTATCTTATTATTTCGTAAGATTTTTATTAAAATAAAATATAATACATTGATTTATTAAATATTAATCTTAATAAAAAAATTACTTAACATTAATGAGGAGAAATAATGAATTTTCAAAGAGCAAAATATATTGCATTATGCATAATTAATGTCGACTAATAACCAATCGAGGTATGAAATGGACGTGATTAAAGCATGTGTAATTTCATCTCGATTTGCCACCGATTACGGCGCTCGACGCGACTGGAATGGAAATTGCGGATTGTGCATTCCGTATGCAACGCGAAAGAAGCGCATCTCTGTTTTTAGCATTAATATCAATTGTGTGTGTGTTTATGTATGTATGTATGTAAATATGAGTGTGTATGTGTGTACAAGGAGGGTACATTAACATATAAATAAATAAATGAAATAAAACGGAGAGAAACGAGTTCCAAAAGGTTACATAGTAAGAAGTAGGATGCGGTTGTGGAGAGAAAAAAAAAAGGTATGCAGGAGAAGAAGTAATGAAGATGCAATTGCACAAATAGCTTTGGAGTAAGCATATAAAAGCGCTAATTGTCGAAGCAGTCGTCAGTTATTAGATATTTTAGCTATCAAACGCATCGCCGATTTTCCATCAAGAACAACATGAAAGTGGTCAGTGCAGAAGAAAATCCGTTTTGGTTACGTACCTATATTATTGTAAAATTAATTAATCTTCCAGTTTATCGCCCTGTTCGCACTCGCCACGATTGTTTTGGCCGCGCCGCAAGGAGCCGACAAAGATGCTCAAATTGTGAAAAGCGAATTGGAAAATATTGGCGTAGATGGATATAACTGGCTGTAAGATTCACTCATTTATTTGATAACTAATTCATACAATTAATATCATTTGTGTTGCGTGAAAACTGGTTGTAAAATTATAAAATATTTATTGTCTTCGTTAATATAATAACATTGGTTTATTTGATGCGACTGAAACAATCTATGTTATCTGAAAATTTAAAAAAAAAATCACTAATTATTTATTTAAATAGTTTTGCATGATTTTAATGATTCCAATATGTTGCTTGAAAATGATTAACACGCTGTTATTACCAATATTAATGTATCTTTATGAAACTACAACCTATAATTTATATATTGATTGGTATAATATGTATAATTTTCTAAACAATTTATCTACTAAATATTAACATAACTATGGTTGTTAGAATGATGGAATAATTGTTGTCGTGGAACAGATGAGAGGATGTCTTCTGGTGAATCGATTCATAATTGCGTGTGCACTTTCTGTCATTAGTTATGAAACAAGCAATGGAATTTCCGCCAACGAGCAGGGCCAATTGAATAATGCCGGAAGTGAAAACGAGGCAATCTCCGTTCGAGGAACGTATTCGTATACCGGAGCTGATGGGGTTAAATATACAGTGAACTACGTCGCCGACGAGAATGGTTTCCAACCGGAAGGCGCCCATATTCCCAAGTAATTGGGCATCATCGATTGTGATACAGTTTCTATTGCGCAGATCTGCAGTGTACATATTATATTTTATGTTATATAATAAAGCAAATTGAAAATAAAAATCATATATAAACATTGATTATATTCATTTACTTAGAAAACTGTCTCCTCAGTCTAGAATTTACAATTTTAGATTTAGATTCACAAGGAAATTAAAAATGTTAAAATTGGATTAAATAAATTAGTCCAAATCTACAATTGTGTCATATCTTAGACTTGAGTACATAAGGAAGCATATTATGTTCTAAGAGATTTTCTACAAGTTTATTTATTTAGGTGCGACTCAAGTTTACAAACAAACTTTTCACTAAATTAGAAATTACATAACACTATTGAATAGTTGGAAAGGTGCGTTAGCGATTATATATTGAAAATAACAAAACATTTAACTCAATGACTTGTTATTATAGCTTACCGAAAATAATCATCATCAATTACTAAATTATTGTAAAATTCAATGAGTATAATATTTCAAATAAAAAAATGCATATACAAAGTGCAATTAATATTATTTGCTCATAAATATGTAAATATTAATTATTACTAACAGCGATGAATAAATTAGTAATAATTAATTTCACTTGTAAATATTATATCAATATCTGTAATTGTTTAATGCAGTTGCAATAAGAATACAAAGTAAAAAGTTAAAGTTTTCCAGGATAATTCGATTTGGGTTTCGACAGAAAACAATTAAACGTGATTACAGTGTAACGTTATTAAAACTTGTGTGGAAACTAAAGAGTTGCGCGGCATTTTGCTCCTTCCTTCCAATGAGCCGAGAAAAAGAAACAATAAATTTTAATTAAGGAAGGCAAATCTATGACCAAACAATGATCAATATAAAATTTCATGGACGAAACAGTCTCTTTTATCCGAGACAATCACGCATGGAGAAATCATGTCGCAACGGTCGCCTCTTCTTATCCTCTTCTCTTTTTTTTTTGTTCATTCATGCAATAAAATCTATTGAAATAAATACGTTTTATTGCACTTCGATTTGCATTAATTGTAATAAGCATCCGCGCTCACCCGTCGACATTAATTCGATAAAACTACAAATAGTATTTGCATTTTCTTTTTTAATATAACAATTACGCAATCGTATGTAAATCCTCCTTTCAGTTATTAATTACGTCCTTTACGCAGATGACATTTTGCAAGTCGTTTTCGCTTTTACCGTGTGATGATTAATCAATTAACTTATTTCAGAATAATTAATAAGTGTGAAACAATACCAAATTGAATAATATATAATTGTTTGAATACATAATACGATTTACATAAAATGATAGACCACACTTAATAAAAAAAATCTTTAAATCAACATAAATTACATCACTTAAAGTTTCGAAGATTCGAAAAGAAACCCGAAAAAAACAGTAATAAATTAACATTCTTTCGAAGGTTGAAACACATCTTCAATAACTTTTACTTGAATCTAACGATCATATTTTACGGATTCACAAATAACGATAAGAAAATGTCAACGACATCCATTTAATTACTATGTAACAAACCAAAAAACTGGTTGAAAAACTCCAACTTATTATATTTCGATTATTTTACTATAGCGCCAGATCAAAAAAAAAAAACACGAATATTATTGCGTCAAGTTCATCCTATGGCAATAAAGAAAATGTGAATATTATGATAATTTTTGGCCCGATGTCCTCTTCACTTGGAACCTGTTTTATTTTTTTTCTGTTAAAGAAAAGGTCAAAACCAATTAATCAATGGTATTGCAAATTAGTATATAAACGGTTTTCGGCAGTTTGTAATCACACTTGAAGTCTACCCACAGTCCCATCAAGATGAAACTGGTAAGGATTTCTGATGGTTTAGTATCAACTTGTATTTATTTTTAATTGTTTTTCTAGATCATTGTTCTCGCCGCTTTGGTTGCCGTGGCTTTGGCCAAGCCTTTGGACTCCGACAAGGATGCCCAAATCTTGAAGAACGACTTCGACAACATTGGAGTCGATGGATACCAACACGCGTAAGTATTATTTGCAATTGCGAAATGTGTTTGTCTCTAATGGAAAGTATTGCTTGCAGCTATGAGACCAGCAACGGAATCTCCGCTTCCGAAGAAGGACATATCATCAACGCCGGTACCGACAACGAAGCCATCGCCGTCCGTGGACAATTTTCCTACGTCGGTGCCGATGGTGTCACTTACACTGTCACCTATGTAGCTGATGAGAACGGTTTCCAACCACAAGGCGCTCACATCCCACAACCAGAATAAGAATTGACCCAAGCTATGAATTTGAACTCTAGTACCTTTAAATAAACATTTCAAAATCTAAATTTGTTGTTTACCTTTTCTTTGACACACAATCCGTAATTCTTTTGACTATATTAAACAAATTTAATATTTAATAATAATATACAAAAAATCTCAATTCAAACTAACCAATTTTGATAAACTTTAATACTTTACATTGATCTTTTAGTATTAAAATAAATTATTTAATAATTTATTAATTAATAAATTATTAAATATTTATGAGTAATATTTTAATTACAAGAAACCGGATTCATCGACAATTAATAATAATAAGGTTCAAAATAGAATCTATGTAAATATTTTATAAAAATATCGATGTTCGAATCTATTATTAAGCGATTATATAAGCATTCATTATTTATTAAAATCTTCATCCCAAACAAGGAATTATTGTTTTTTAGCATGAAAAAATGTAAATATAATATTATAATTTATCGGTATAATAACACTTCCGTGATTTTTACATAATTCAAACGATATTTCATCGAAACTTCCATAATATTTACATATTATTAATTTCCTCTATTTAAATACACCAAATCGACGTATGTATTCAATTAAGTAATGAAAATTGAATTTTTATAGAAGCTTCAAAAGCAATTACGTTACTAGCTTGAAATAATAATAAAAAAAAACTTACGTATGTTTAAAAAACTTTTTTTTAACAAATCTTGCAAATGGTTATTATGAAACTTTGATAAATAAAAGGTTACATTCCATGATCGCATACAATTATAGTTATATAAGATTTAATATAGAAACATTTATGCAAGAAGCCTCACGATTTCGCTGTAATCAATCGATGGGGTTCGCACTTTGAAATGTGTAGCTCATCTGCATTCAAATATGCCAAACGTTACATCAATTAAATCTTGTATGCGGTTTTTTCAAAATCAAATTTAAAATTTCTTTTTTTTATTGATTATCAAAACTGACATATTTTAATATTTACTTTAGAAATGAATGTATCTTGAATACTATATTTTATATCTAGACTCGTAAATTTATCTAAATATTGTGGAAATGTATTCATTTTGTAAATGTAATAAAGGTGATTTGATTAATTAAAAAAAAAGTGAGTTACCAGTCAATACCATCTTATATTTAGTAATCATATTATAAAAAAAACAACTACAGGTAAATTTCAGTGTACAAATTAAAAATTATTTTCTTAGTTTCAACATATCTTGAAATTAATTTACATCGATGCAAAATGTACTAGTGGTTGATATGTTACTATTCTAATCAAGTTCTCATATATCTTATCTCATGGTGGCAAGTTGTCCATTTGAAACGGCATTATAAAATATAAAATTGGGTATCCATAAAATAATGTGATGTAAAGATTGCGTTTCAAATGGAAACGGCCACAGCTCATACACAAATAACAACGATAATAATATTAATAATTGCACGAACAAAAATATAAGTTAACATGTGCATTTAGTAAAAAGGCATTTCTGTCGTTAAGTATAATCTCTATACATATCTTATGTACACATAATAGCAAGAAAAAAACAACAACATCTTAAAGCGTCTTATTGTTCTTAACATTAGGTAGGCTAAGTTTCGGCCTGGCCGTTGTTTTGTCCAACAGCGAGATAGGATTGGACGGTCTCAGCACTTTCACCGACGTGGACTTCTCCTTTTCAGACGTGAGCGTCCTTTTCGCTCGTTTAACTTGCTTCGTTTCCTTTTTGGCGTCTGCCTCGACCTGCAACAACCACCCATTCTCGTTGGTCTTCGGTGTCGATGACTTAACACTCACTACTGACGTTGGAGTCAACTTTCTTTGACTACTCCGTCTTGGGGTCTCGTCATTTCTGTCAACATATAATTTAATGCTGACGATTGCAAACTCACAATCCATCTACGATTACCAAGCACGACCACCAAAAGCGGGGAACATCGACATGCAATCCCCGTCTAATTACAAGAATCTTTTTTTATGCAACAACAAATAATAGCAGAAATGAATTAACGTACATGCTAACAGATTGAACCAAAGTATTCTAAGAATGTATATAAACTATCTACAATTGTATTAAAATCAACAAATTAGTAAGTTACACTATAAGTAAAATTTATTAAATAAAAATTGTTTGGCAAGAGTTGGCAATTCCATGCTCAATATTATACGTTATACCAACCTCTTTGTCGTTATAACTCGCGCTGCCGACGAAGCTGTAGGTGTTTTTAAAGTAGACACTGGAGATATTTTGCTTGATCTCAAAACGGCTGTAGTTCTTAATACTGCTGTTTTTCTATCGTTGATCCTACAAACCAAAACATGTAGGTCAACACCGCAAACATCATTATCATCTTACGGTCTTGTAACCAGAGGTCTGGTCTGCCTTCTCAGTGCCTTTATTTGATTCAGCTTATCGCCTTGAGTCAAAGGCGAAGCGTTCTCTTCGCTGGGCGATTTCACTTCTTCCTTGTCATTCAACTTCATCGTGTTAACCTTCTTCAGAATGCAACAGACCTGCTGCGGCACATCATCTTCGAGTCCTTCTGTCGCCATATCAGCATAAATGCCTTTCTTATGACAAAGAGGACTTTTCAGATCCCTCGCCATTCGATACATCTCGCCTTCCTTCCACATTTGATCTTGTTTGCTGAAAATAAGAAAAAATATTTCAACAGGTATAAACCATATATAGTTCGCGAATACTCGTAACATTTCGTGCATATTATCGATTCAATTTAAATTGCGTAGTTACACTTGACAAGGTGACTTCAAATGCAGATAGGAGATAAGATAAAAAAACACAAGAATGAATATTAATATAGCAATGAAACGAAAATATAACACTTGAAAAACATACCATTCCAACCATACTTGTTGATGGCTAATAACAGATCCCGGTCGGCACATACGGATCCAGGCTACAGCTTCTTTAGCGGCAAACTTATAATGCTTCATTAAATAGCAACCAATTAAAGTGCCTGTCCGTCCAAGACCAGCTACAAACGAAACAGAGATAGATTAAACTTGAAATTTATAAAAAAAATAAATAATAATCTTTGTGTGAATTAAGCAAACCTTTGCAGTGTACAGCTACAGCTCCAGGAGCTCTTTCGCAAATATTCATAAAATCGTGCAGAATTTTGTCAGTTGGCGTGCTACCATCTAAAAAGTACAAATCGTAGTGCTCGAAACCGGCGTTCACAAACTTATTAGAGTCGTAAATTTTCTTATTCAACCTAATTATAGTTGTGACGTAGTTCTTTTGAAAATAATTGAAATAAAACTCAGGGGCATGTAAAGGGTACCCATGATGCACTCTGCTTTGGTTGTGAGGTCCACAGAAGCCAAGAAATTTCTCAGGTACAATCCAATTAAGATCGCCGTTCTCCACGTGCTCATAATATTCATAAAGTGTTTGATTGAAGTTTGTGAAATCAAAGAAGCCACATTTCTTTGCTTTGCTCAGGCCTTTCAAGCAGTCCATGAGAGAGATAGTGTATGGCTCTCCAATTGAAGCATCCCTATACTCAATGAATGGTATATGATTGTTCATATTCAAAACATCAAAAGCTTTCTGTGGTGTAAAATCTAAATAAATTATCTAAAAGTAATCAAAGTTTGTTATATATTCCATAAAACTTATTTCAATTGACTACTCACTGCATAGCATCCAATTAAGCAAGCTGCATTTAACCGGTTCCTCTTATGATCTGTAGTTGTGTGTACAATACGTTTGTGTTTCAAAGTTACTGCATTGAGTTTCTTGTTTAGTTTGTTGCAATAACTATATAACATAGAAATATTCAGTGGACCAAAGTCATAAAAGAAACTCTCATAGTTATATATTTTCTCTACAGTAAAGTAGTGAGTGCATGCTGTAGCTCTAGGCTGCTCTTCTGTTCTCAATGTCACAAAATAAAGTCGATCTAGAACATTAACAGTAAATTAATTATTATTAAATTCATATAACATTCAATTGTTTCACATTACCTTTAATGAATTCAGCAGCACTGACCAAAACATCCTCGTCCTGCATTTTGTAATGTATTCTATAATAACCAGTTGTAAAAATAGAATGGCTTCTTAATTAGATCTAACTCAATGTATTACTTTATTTGATCAGAACAATCCCACTATGTGTAGGTGTTGAATTAGTGGGTATACAATAAATATATAACACTAACTGCGTATTTTCTTGAAACGGATTTGGGGATCGGCAGAAAGCGTACACATTTATCGCTGCCTTAAATATATATTTGCATTTTCCGCCTAGGTCGACCCCAGGACAGAAGAAATTGCTCAGGTAAACATAACACCTTCAGACTATTGGGATTTAGCTTTAATCACAGAACGAAAACAACACAGACCGTACCGCCATGACACAATAACAGTTACTAAAAAATAAATTCGCTGCCAACCGTAGGCGACTTCCAAACAAAACAAACAAAATCCCCAAAAGTTATTACAGTTGCCTATTAAATAGATATTATTTGAATTTCATCAGTTAACGGAAACATCGCTGACATTCTATAAATTGTCTAGACATTCTATACAATTCCGTATGGTATTTGATAAAAATAATGATTTTATATTGTATTAGCAGATGTTTATGACTGGAGGGTTATTATGTAAAATAATTATGTTTACAGACAGAAAGATTGTATAAGCATTTTGATTCATACATTGAATATTACTTTACTTATATATTTAAGGAAAGAACCATTAGCCAATTTATTTTTTATTTATGTATTAAATATTTAAGAAGTTGTAGATCTGTAATATTAATTATAATTTTTTATTTCGATCAAAGATGTATCGATCCAAATCTTTCTTTTCTACATAAATATTATATTTTGATATTCTACGATTTGTTTCATGAATTTAAATTAGTTTATTGATCAATGATGTAATTATAAAATACAACGTATATTTTATAATTTCTGTTTAATGTATGTACATTTATTTATTATATATCATAAGTTGAATATCGCTAAAACAATAATCATTAAATTGATTGATTTAATAACCAAATCCATAGAAACAATAGTTTACATACAAGTTCAACTATTAATTATACATGTAATATTAAAATAAGATTCACGCATTCCATATTTGAATGTTGTGAATCGTCTCATCGATTATGGAGTTTCAGCAATAAATTTCGTCTAAAATTTCAAATGGAAATGTCGTCAGTCAAGGCCACTTGCCCGGTTTTTACTCTTCAATTTCATCTAGCATTTCGCAATGTCCCAGTCGATTTAATTGTTTTTGATAAATTACCCTAAATCTTCGTCTCAAGGATTCGATATTCCCAAATGAATCATGATTACGTTCGTATACGGTGTGAAAACCCAAATATAACCGAAACAAGTAATTTGGATTATTGGTAACTGGAGTATATAAATTTAGATTAATTTTATGTATGTAAAGATAAATTGTTTACAATTCTAATGGTTTATTATAATACATTTTAAATAACATCGTATGTTGCATGAGCGTAAAATGTCAGAAGAATAGAAGTTGTTTCCCAATCAATTAATCACCGGTCGCTTAAAGAAGATTTGTACTTTTCTTCTTAGGTGTTACGCAATAATTGATTGTGAATCATATCTGTTCGATAACTTAGTCGTTTGTTACTTTTACTTTTTTTTATATTGAAAAAACCAATTGCAACAACAATTATCCAATACGGCTAATTACGTGGTTATAACATAATAATTGTAATTATAATATTGGTAGTGTAAACGCACATTTTTTGATAATTATGTAACAACGCATTTGCCAAGCGGATTTTAGAAGATAATTAGGATATAAGTGATGGTAATTAACGACATTGATTTGTATGTGTCAACTTATAGAAGAATCATTATTTATTGTTATTGCTCTGGGCAAAAAGCGAAGAAGATAGACGTTCCCAAAAACTAGTTTTGGGAAAGGTTAACATCACTCGGATCAACTGGAAACTTCATTAAAAAAATGTGAAGGATGTTCAAATTTACATGCTACACATATATTTCTATGGTAATAGTTCAAAGAAGACGCGCTCTTCGGGAATGTAAGAGGGGAGAATTGGCCATCCCAAAATTTGCGTATATAAGTTAAATTTGGCGATGGCTTAAGTCACAGTTCACACACTGACTAAGCAAACACAACATTCAAAATGAAACTCGTTAGTATTTCGAATGAACACATTTGAATTGCTTTAAATTAACTTTAAATTATCTTTGATTGCAGCTCGTTGTTTTCGCCGCTTTGGTTGCCGTAGCTTTGGCCAAGCCATTGGATTCTGACAAGGATGCTCAAATCTTGAGGAGCGACTTCGACAACATCGGCGTTGATGGATTCCAACACGCGTAAGTGTTACTGCAATTGATAAATTGGTCTGTTTTTAATGGAAAATCCCGATTGCAGTTATGAGACCAGCAACGGAATCTCTGCTTCTGAACAAGGACAAGTCATCAACGCTGGAACTGAAAACGAAGCCATCGCCGTCCGTGGACAATTCTCTTATGTTGGCCCAGATGGTGTCACCTACACCGTCACTTATGTTGCCGATGAGAACGGTTTCCAACCACAAGGCGCTCACATCCCAAAAGCAGAATAATAAGTATCTCAACAATAACTGAAAATGTCTAAATGAAAAATCGACTCTGTATACGCATTTTAAAACCCCATTGTACAGCAACCAAAAGTAGTGTATTTAATTCTTATTTTGTACATATTGATCTAAAATCGACAACTATTATAATATTTTTCTCAATATTGAAAAATAATATAATAGAAACAATGAATATTACATTAATAAATACTTGATACGATATTCGTCTTTTCATATTTGTGCTTTCCTCAACTGAAAACATTACAAACATTATCCCAAGCAGACAATAATATTTATAAAATAACCATACCTCACACGAAACCAAATGATAAACTAGAATCAAAATCAAATCCAACTTAATCTAAAATTGTAAATAATCAAAAAAAAGTTAGAACAGATTTCTCTAAAACTATGTAACAAAAAGTATAATTTATAAAACTCAAAAGAGAAAATGAACAGTGAGTGTAAATATGTAAATTATTAAATAAATAAATGTAATTCATTTTTTTTAATAATTTACAATATTTTTTAAAAATAATTCAAATTTGTGGTTCATACTAATTAATTATTTATGCTTTTTTCTCTTTAATTTAACAATTTCCTATATGGAGTTATTGCATTTCTTAATTTCGTTGCTAACAAAGATTTATAAATCATCCACATTCAATAAATTTGCTGATTGAGACATCTGAACAACTTCATTTATAATGTCATTTTCTCCTTTCGTTGCGGATTTTGTTATTCGAAGCTTCGCTATCAGAGATATTGTTAACCGAAGTATGACTATAGCTCAGTCTGCAGACAAATAAATCTATCTTTTTTGGATGAGTTAAAACAAGGTGCAGTCATCTCCAGAATCCTGCTTTCACTTGTTGAATCTTAAAATGCAGATTCTGAATAAGATAATTGTAGCTTATGCAATAAATGACTTCTCATTTTAGGTTCAAGAAGTCTTAGATTTATACCAAGAAAATGTAATTTAATAATTTCGAAACAAATTGTACTGAGTTTATATTCCAATCTTATTAAAGAAATAGCTTCGATCGGAGTGTTAAAATTGGTTCTTGAAATGGCACAATTATCGTAAGGCAAATAATTGTGTTATAATGATGATGAGGTTTACGAAAACTCGCCAATTTAGGTGATTATATAGAAATGCGTGATTATTTCAGTGCAAATTAGATTTCTCAATATTCATTTCTCGCTTTTAAACGCTAAAAAACAAAATAATAATTTGATTCGTTTCACAATGAAATGTAAAACTATTAAGGATAAAATAAGAAATACCAATAAATAAAAGTTATTAAATATATTTCAGGGATAAGATTATAGTTTCTTTTTATTTCATATTTTATATACTTAGTTATAAATGTATATCAAAGATTTTTGTACCTGTTTTAAAATTAAGATACTAAATGGGACTGATTGAGATGAGCTAATTTTAAATGCATTCAAATACAAACAAAATTTACATGTCACAAATTAAAAAAGAAGATTGTACTTATGAAATATTCCACAAAAATTCTCAAATTCAATGTTTATTTTCATAAAATGTTAACCTAATTTCTACTAGCACTATCTCCTCTTGAAACCATACTTCTTCCTTTCGTAGAACAAATCTGTTTTGGAACTGCCAAGATTCACAATCTTTGGGCATCCATCCCTGTCCTTTTCTTGTATTGTGCACTCTTTGCAATAATATGCATCCGAGACACCAGGACCTCCACAAATGACACATCTTCCCTGGTATGATCCGTAATTGCATTCATCACAAATCCTAACCAATGTGCAGGGTCTCACATAAGAATCACAGATGACACATTTTCCATCGCACTTCTCACACAAACGACCAATAGCTACACCTGGCTGCTTCCTACAGAAGATCAAATCAGGATGATGCTTTGCCATGGCTAAAACAGTATTATTAATAGGAATGAAAAAAATATGTGAATAAAATGTTTGCTTACCTCAGATGCGGACACGTATAGAACTTTATTCAATAAAATAGTCAAATAGATACAAAATAATACGAAATGGTTATGTTTTCAAATCAAAACATAACCAATAAATGCAGACTGTAGAAAACTCACAACAAATACCAACACCAATAATATGATTTTGGAGACAGGCATGCCAATAAAAGTAAAATAAAGTTATATCAGCAACGTGCTATGCAACCAATATAACACGTAAGGGGATTCACCCATATATTATAACAATTAAGCATTGTGAAATAGAAAAATAGTTAGTAATTCGAAATAAATCAGTTATAATTAATTTCTAGTTATATCAACTGAAAAGCGTTCTTCAATTTATCTACATCAGCGATTCCCAACCTTTTTTTTATAAGCGTACCTCTTGACATGTAATTTACCTAGATTGCACCCCATTTAAGAAATTTAGTAAGTAAACGTCAAGTTAATTGTACGTGTTGTATCTTTAAATTAGGTGAAGAAAAAGACGAAAATTTTGCACATAGAGCAATGAAGAAAGACAAGACGTTCGAGAAACCGATCCTGATTTATGATGTAAGCATACGCATAAGAGAAATTGCTAGAAAAAAAGATTTATCACATCGAGTTATCGTGTTTCAAACTAGGATAATTGCAAAAATACAAAAATTGAACACTGTTACACAGATCACAAACGTTTCTGAAACAATGGCATCTGATGGCATCAAAACTAGTCATCGCCGTTCTCTAAAGTAAACAAATCGTCGATCTCTAAAGTAAACAAAACTATACGCGTCGCGCTTGCGCATTCTCATAAATTGTAATCACGGATCGGAGATCAGACTCGCTTCTATAAAACCGGAGCACACGCCGACTCATAGAGCAACGATGTAACAGCAGAAAGTGATGCCAACTGATGTTTAAATTCAAAATTATTTAATAACATTAAAACTCCCTATTGTGGATCAATTGATAAACATAATAGCGCCAATATGACAAAAATCAATATATTATTAATAATAATCCAATTAAATTAATGTGAATTATAGCCAATACAAAACCAAATAATTGTTAATCAATTAAATGAAATTCATTGAATAGAATATCAAATCACTTACAGCCCAATCGATTAGTTTGCATTTGAACAAAATATTAATACATCCTTCGAGTTTAAATTTGCATCTATTTTATTAGTCATTCACTCACAACTAATCGATTAGGCACTTTTAGAACACTGATAATTCTTTTGAGTCTGATGTAGCATTAATCTACATCTCATATTAGCAGATACACCTAATGATACAGATAGTTTTAAAATAACTATCCAAACAAATTTAGTATAGTTTCAGTTGGGAATCGCTAATCTACATAATTAATCGAAATTACGTATAAACTGAAATGTATATAGTACACGCAATTTACCACATTTTGAACATGCCTAGTAGGGCATTATTTTAATTTTCTATCAAATATACACGAAAAAGGAATTACAATTTTTGGTTCGTCAAGAGATGAATGTTAATAGTTCATACCATCCGAAGTTGTCTGATTCAAATTTGCTGGGTCTAGAAATTTAGTAATTTCTGGTCCCTCAAAGAGTTAATAAATTTTGTAACAATATAAATTTCAATTACGACAAAACTGATGAACTATAAACTTCAGTTTAATACTGATAGATGGCACACACTTCAATTATTAAACAAGCAAAGTTATATAAAGTTTTCTACATAATTTGCTACCAAATACACTATTTATTTACTTTCATCAAAACAGTATATATCTAACACATTTTCAGGCCCATATGTATTCTTGAATTCTAATTCAAATATTTTTTGTGGACCCTAGTAACCAGTTATAAAGTGATGACACTCGCTTCATTAAGGTTGTGGAGGGTGTGTTTGAAGATTTGAGGACCCCTTGATTTAAGAGGTCACAGCCGGGCGCGCGCCTCCTTCGGAAATTCTCCACTGCAAATAAATTGTAGTTAAGCCTATCAATATTTTTTTAAATTTTATGTTAGAATTTATTTATTTTGAGAGTTATTATAATTTTTTAGTTTTTATTATTATCATTTATTTATGAATAGAATATATTTTTTTTCTTTTGTATTGATGTCTGGCCAATAAATCATTATTATTATTTGAAGTTATATTAACACTAGATTAATATAATAAATAAGAAAAGCTGTTCTTCTATTTCAAAATATGATTGTGAAATGAGTATATCTGCAATATTTTTTCATAAAATATAGTAATTATTCAATGTATGAAATCATTACTAAAGATGGAATAACCAAGGACGACAGCCCTTGCATTTGTTTGTTTTATTTAGTATATATAGCTAATAAATGATTAATATTATTTCACTTATTTGTGACTTGGCACTTTCGTGCCAATTGCTCTTCTTTGCCGGGGCCCTACCTGGGCCCTAGGGCGCTCATTGGCCGATAGATAAGACCTTGCGTAGGATGTGGGCCGTTGCCAACAGTGCGATTTGTTTTTCAGTTTTTATAATTCAATTATATTTATAACGTATTACTAGCAGGGTTCACCCTAATTACAGTACTAAATAGGTTATAGGCCTGGGGGCGGCAAATGTTTTCAATTATGAATCGCCCCTATTCTTCTCCTTGTATTTTCTTATGAGCAGGGGCGCATTATTCTCAGTATTTAACTGACGCCAAATATGTTAGGACAGTCCTGATTACTAATATGTGTTTTAGGTTCTCATTTAAATATTAATAAATATTATAATTATACAGGTTATTTACATTTTATCTTGTGTGAGTAAGAAAAATGTCAAAGAATATAACTACTTTTCTATTATTGAAAAAACACGGATACAAAAATAGATTTCGGAACAAAATGTACTGACGTTGTTTTTTTTTCTAAATCGTCAACAGAAATAGTATAATACTGATTTATTGTAATTGGATTTGAGCACCTTGTCGAAATGCATTATTTATGCTCGAAACCATGGACAATCGATTGCAAACACAACACACACACAAACAAGTAAATTGCCAATTAAATCTGTTAATCAATACATTTGGTGACTCGATTATCTATTTGTGTGTGCTTTTTTTTGTTGTTTTCCATTGAAACCATCCTTGATTATCGAACGAACGCAACTCGAATTTCTCGGACAGATATAATAAGTTTATGATTTATGGAGAGCCATTAAATTAATTTAATTGATTTGAAGGTTCCCATTAATCAGGACTCTACGCCGCCATCAGGAAACGGAGAGGATGGGCAAATTGTGAATGGCGTATCCTTGTACGCATTGTTCGTTCATAATTGATATCAAAAACGTGAAGAAAAAATACCGACGGATACACGATATCCATTTGTTGTTGATGCACTTGATATACCGTCACGAAGATTCGACTATGTAAAAGAAGAAGAAAAAAAATGTAATTTAATTTACATAAATATTAATAAGTTGTTAAACCCACGTACAATTTGATTTAAAACGCTCATCTTTACTATAATTACTACAATTCCAAATCCACGATTATCCTAATCGCATCAATTGAATTATAATTCCATCAAAACGTTGGCCATTATGTTCAATTAGTAGATAAATATTATATTTAATATCAGTAATTTATAACTTGATTATTGCAAGTACAACATGAAATTTCTTTAACCTAAATATTTAGATAATAAAACAGAAGGTTAATAGCGATAGTATAAATGACAAAAAATCAAATAAATAAGAGGATTGAGAGTGTTTTCATCAATGACTGACTGACTTTAAATGAATTTTTTTCGCGGTTTGACACGTATGAATAATTAATTCCATTAGACTTTTTGGACAGGATTTTTTTTGTACATATATTGCAATGAAAGTGGTCATAAATTTGATTATAGATGCAATATAATATACACAATTTATTTATTTTTATTTTTTCGAACGGTTATCCCATACCGGATTCATTCTTATTGACATATAAGTGCGGAACGTATCTTTGAGATGGTAAATTCATATTTTTTTTCTCCATTATTCTTGTGTTTGCCTGCAATGTGCATGATTTGCAGACACGGTGATTTGGTTTATAATTGTTTTTAACTATTAAATCACGCACGCGTCACATCTCCATTTCATTCATTAAAACAGCAATTACTTCTGTAAAAATAATTATATATGCTGAGCATAAGTAAGTACTTTCCTGAGTGAATAATTGTATTTCAAATGACTAAAAATAGATCGTTTATAATAAATTACATAACATAACACAATAAATATAAATTATTTTTAACCAATTCAATATTCAAATTGAATGAAAGTAGATTTAAATTTGTTTTTTGTTGCATCTGCTACTGTTTCTTTTCATTGTTATTCCAACTATTTCAGTTTGGAGGACATCGTGTATTCTCTTATTAGTGAACACCATGAACTTTATTAGGATTATCAACTTAATTCACCTATAATAACATTACTTAGTATTTGGCATATTTTCTATCTACATTGAAATTTTTTGTCCCTTTTATTTACGTGACTTTCATGATTAGTTTCCTGTCTAAAATTTGTCTACGACTTTCATATTTGGCAATAAATTATATACTACAATTTGATTTTCAAAAATTGTTTAGAACAGCGTTTCTCAAACTGTGGGTAGTGACCCAACATTAGGTCGCAATAAATGTTATAATGTGTTGCGAAATGACTGCTGTTACATTGTGTTAAAGCGATGATCAGGTGACCCAAAATTAGATCGCAATTTTTTAATGTGTCGTGGAATGACAGCTGTCATCTTGTGTCAAAGCGATGATCAGGTGACCCAAAATTAGGACGCAATAAATGTTATAATGTGTCGTGAAATGACTGCTGTCACCTTGTGACAAAGAAATGATCATGTGACCCAAAATTAGGTCTCAGACAATTTTTTAAAGTGCACCGAAATGACAGCTGTCACCTTGTGTCAAAGTGATGATCAATTGACCCAAAATTAGGTCACAATAAATGTTATAATGTGTTGCGAAATGACTGCTGTTACATTGTGTTAAAGCGATGATCAGGTGACCTAAAATTAGATCGCAATTTTTTAATGTGTCGTGGAATGACAGCTGTCATCTTGTGTCAAAGCGATGATCAGGTGACCCAATATTAGGTCGCATTCATTTTTTTAATGTATCCAGAAATGACAGCTGTCAACTTGTGTCTAAGCGATGATCACTTGACCCAAAATTAGGACGCAATAAATGTTATAATGTGTCGTGAAATGACTGCTGTCACCTTGTGACAAAGAAATGATCAGTTGACCCAAAATTAGGTCGTAGTCAATTTTTTATTGTGTTCTAAAATAACAGCTGTCATCTTGTGTCATCAACGGATGATCAAGTGATGATGTGTAGCTCGCTCGGCGAAAAGTTTGAAAAACGCTGATTTAAAAAATGCTATCGAAATTGTTATGAGTAGAAGCGGAAACTGTATATTAAAGACTTATGTTTCCTGAAAACTTACCGAGAATCTTTCAAGGTATATTAGCGCCTACGCCTGCACACGGTCATGCCTCTGGCATTATAATTATCCAGCTTTACAACATTTATTAATAAAAGAATTTAATGGGTATTTGCATTTTTCAATTAAATTTAACTGCATTTATCATCATCGCACAATGCTAAATATAATTTATTATATCTTACATTGTTCACGGTATGACCGTAGGAAGTTATGCATAAGATTTATTCTTTTCTGCATATAAATTTTATTTTACACATTCATTTTATATGTCTTTATTTACAATTCCTAAAAGGTCAAAAACTAAATTAATTTATCAAGATTATTATCTTATTAAAAATGGAAATCACAAATTAAACATGTATATTTGTTTATTTACAACAATTAATTATAAGTTTAAAATCTTAAGATTATATAGAAATATAATAATAATAATTTATGTACGTTTATAGTAACAAAACTTATTTTAATGAATAATCATAGCATTTTGAAGTAATTTCTACTAGATTTTTAAAAATAAATATATATTTTTCATAAAAACAAATATATGATGGCCGAAAAAGACAATAAATTAAAAGTATAAAAACATATTTTAAAGCTTTACTAATTGTTTTATTAAAATTTAAATAGAAGAAATAGTAGTAAAACCTTGTCAATATGATTTTGTACTGCCTACATACAGAAGTGAACGTCCTCAGTTCAAAATGTTGTAAATTTTGTTAATTTATCGTCCGTGAAATTGTATCTAAATTTCACAAAAAAACAACAACTATTACACACTTTGCAACAGTTGTAAAATCATGGCTATAAATTTGAATATGTTTCGAGTCATCTGAACGATGAATCATTGCGAAATGACAAAATATTTAATAGTGTTATAATTAGCGCTTTCAAATCTGATTAACTTCATTGATTCTTACACAGTTGTAAAAAAAATCTTTAACAGTAATTTTATGTAAATTCATCAAATCTTGTGCAAAATTTATGAATCGATTGAACGTTTGTTATATAATTATATATCGTGTTTCTTTAAAGCATCCCAATAGTTATAATATGTGAAATGAAGTAATTCAAAACATGTTATTATTAGTAACAAAATATTTACTAAACTTACAATTAACGCTTTTTAATTAAATATTAATTAATAATAATAATATATTTTAATGTTCACATCCTGTTAGACATTTCTTTAAAGCATTCAAATAGTTATAATATATGAAATGAATTGATTCAAAAAGTGTTGTAAATAATGAGAAAATGACAAAATAATGACAAATTGTACAATTAACGCTTATAAATAATATTCTTTAACAGCAATATTATGTCGATTCGTCAAATCGCGAAATTTACGAATCAATTAAACGCTTGTTACATAATTAGAGATTTCAATGTTTGAATCCTGGTAAGCATTTCTTTAACTCTTTGAGGGGATACACATTCTCCCACCTGTAGAACATACCTAGTGGTCATTATTTTAATTTTCTAGGAATTGTCCAGGAAATTGGAATTATCCTTTTGATGTCAAAGGATCAAGGTAATGCTATTATATTAACGATTATAAATAATATATTTGACAGTAATTTTAAAATATGTATATTTTAATGTTTAAATCCTAGTACGCATTAAAAAACATTTTATTTTTTAAAAAGATTTATTATCATAAAGAAATAATAAAAAAAATATTTAATAATGATATAATTAGCACTTTAAAATCAGATTAACTACATTTTCGTAACATTCTCGCATAGTTTAAATATTCTTTTATTATTATGAATCAATGTTTCATAATATATTCCAATAATAACATCCCATTAGACGCATATTTAAAGCTTTTAAACTACACCAACAGTTATAATGTTTGAAACACACAAATTTCGTTTTTCGTACGCTAATTTTTCTAAAAATATTCGAAGAAATGACGCATTCCGTAAAGGTGCCCGACGGTCTAATAAAATCAAACTCATTATGGAACCACGAAAGCTAACTGTGTTAACAACCACCGCAATTCCAAATTTAAGTCATTAAATCATTAAATATGAAATAATTATATTTAGATATAATAGAACTAAATTTGGTAAGGTTACAATTCAATGTTTCTTCGATTGCTTTTTGTGATTGTAATTAACAGATTCGTTACACGTGGTTATTGGATGCTTCTGCTGGTGAGGTAGCGGGAGATTCGCATAGAAGATGGTCAAGGAAACTATAAAACATCTCAGTCCTCAATAAAACGCCCGATTTGCTAACAATACACTGCCAATATAACAAGTGCCATATATTATTAGTAAACTGAGAAGTCAACAAACAATTTTTTTGTTCTATTGAATGTGCTTAGTGGTTTCCACAACAAAATGAAGACAATTGCAGTAAGATTTTTTATATTTATTTATTGAACAATTATATCAATTTTATTTAATTTTTAATTATTTCACTAATTATTATAAATTAATAAATTACTACTCTTATTAATATATATTTCTTCTATTTTTTAAATAAACTACAATAAATTAGAATTATTTATATATTAATAATAAAATGAGTAATTTCATTCAATGTTTTTAGAATTTGCTACAATTATATCATCGTTATATTTTAACAGTCTTTAATTAAATGTTTAATTTTTATTTCTTGATGAAATTTATATAGATATAATCAATTAATTATTTTTGTTTTAAATGGAATTTAATTAAATAAAACGCTATGTTTCCTATTATTACATTTTCTAAATACTAGTTAACATCTACTTATTATTCTATTAAGATGATACTTTGTCGAAAATATCCAGACGGAATTTAGTGAGTAATCCAATACATAATGCAATAACATGAATGAAATTCAATATGAACTTACCCAATAAACTACCAAATATTTCATTCAATTATAACTTTTAAATTGTTAGAAATAACTTACGAAAATATATTGAAATAAAAATGTATAACAAAAAATTGTTAAAACACATGTTAATGTCTTCTTAATTTATAACACATTGCATACATTTTTTTCTCTCGATTCAAATCTCGTGTAGCCTAAAGCGACGATTCGTAATTCAGAAGTGTATAAATCAAGATTCGACTAATTAGCATTTCGTTTTTTTTTTATTTGTTATGTAAAATGTGTGCAATTGGTCATTTTAAGTATATGGAACTGTCATGTATACGTGGTAATCAGCATTTTTAGTTGAGTTATTAGTATTAATTAGATGTTTCATAAGGTTAGTTGCACGCACATAAAGTATGCACTTATTTAAGTATTCAACTTAAACTATGTGACCAGACATAATTATAAAATAAAACTGTGAAAAAAACTTATTCTATACTTAAAATATTATAATATCAATGTCATCTAGTAATCTCTTACCTTAATATAATAAATAAAACACATTTAAAATTTATATTAAACTTACTTTTCTTCAGATAATTTTCAACACAAATTTTCCAATTATTTAATTGACTATTTGATAGTTATTTAATCTTCTCAATTATAATCAAATTTTAAGATATATTAAAAATACCTTTTAGAACAAAAAAAATACAAATTGGCCAATTATTTATTTGTAGTTATTGCAACGTTAAGAAATTGTAATGTGTCAAGAAAATATATTTTTTACTGTATTGAAATAAAAAAAACAAGAATTGTTAAATATAATAAATAATTAATAACGAACTATAAGAATTTAATATAATATAAAATATAAAAAAAGATGAGTTCAATGCTAAATGTATAAATTGATTATCTTTTTATAATGTAATTTGATGTGTACACAATATTAGAATTAAATGCCGGCTCACTATCAATCGATTATCGACCTTGCGATTCCACCGATTTTGTAATGAATCTTGTTTGTTTACAATTGTATAATCTTATTAAAGTATCATATTCTACTGTATAATAACCTTAGGAAGACCATAAATCCCGGATGATTAAAACGCGAAATAATAAATTAAGATGTATTCGTTTGGATCAAAAAAAAATAGTATTTTGATTTGTCCTCGTTTATGAATAATCTCGCCATTAAATTATTTATGAAATATTCAGCAAAAAAAATATATTCTATCAAGATTCGAAATGGTGTGAGTTTATGTAACTTATTACAAAATTATTGTAACTTATTGATCGTAAATATAGATTTATCCGTTTAATTTCTATTGTTAATATTAACATACTGATTTGCATTATTTAAATCTAAGATATTGAATAAATTTTATGTATAAAAAAATAAGCGACTTTAGTTGCTTAGTAGTTAAACATTATGTACCGAAGATAATTGAATACAACCAAAAGGGAAACATATATTTGCTAGTAAGTAAATGCATGATTGCAATACAAAAATAAAAAAATTGATTTTGACATACGAATAAAATTATGAATTAAAGTTGTTTCACGAAAATGTTTATGATGATTTCTTAATATTTATACAATATAATTAACTGAAGAAATAGTTTTGTTCCAAAGGGTTGTTCGTAAGTCGAATTTGTTGGTAAGACGGAGGAATTTAAAATTTCAAAATATACTTAACTTACAACACTTTTATATATGTTAAATTACTGGCTGCATAATTTTGAAAATAAAAATAGATTAAAATAAAAAAAATATTTCTTACAAATACTTTTCAATGTAAATATTATAATTATTTAATAAAAAAAAACGACAAAAGAAACAAATTCAACAAAACAGATCTTCCAAAAATATTATATTTTATTAAAGAAATTATCAATTTTTATTAGGACAGTTATTTTTTTATATCTCTTTGTAACAAGTTAAAGCTTTTAGAATTTTGTTCGTAAGTCTGGAAGTTCGTAAGTCGGGGGATACCTACTTTATTAATAGTATATTCATTTCATTCCGAAAAAAATCATCACTTTTACATAAAGGTTTTAATCGTTAATGAACATTTATATTGAAAAATTCAGCACTTTCAGGTTACAAACACAACTTTAATTTTTTACATTAATAGTTATTATATTAATAATATAATCATTGTTAGTAATAAAAATTCAATGATTCTCAAATGTTCTTAGTAAATTGAGAAGTCTATAAACAGTATTTTTGTTTTGAATTTTCCCAATAGTTTCCACCACAAAGCAAGACAATTTCTTCAAAATATTTTATAAGATTATCTAATAATTATCGATAATCCATTTCAATTTCACATATTACAATACATTTGTGAATTACATAAGGTATTTATACATTTTTTTTTGTTGATTTAATGAATGCAATGACATTTACATCATATCAGAATAGTTTATTTCACAATCGAAGTACAATAAAAATGATTTATTGCACGAGATTAAAATTAGTTTTACGTCCATCGTTACGTGCACACTCGAGTCATTAATTTTTCTAAATAAATTACGGATTCTTGCATTGATTGCAAGATTGTTTCGCTGAAGTCGAATCCAAACAATTCTCGCTTTTCGAATTGTCTTAAGAAATTATTCAGCAAACACTAACAATTACAACAAACAATCAATATAATAGATGGATGACATCATGTAAACAATGTCCTTATACATATATAAATTTGCACAAATTTTCCATGCAAAGGCCTATTCCGCATTCAAAGAGTGCATCCAATATTGAACGTAAAACGCGTTTATATTTATTGATTCGTTGCGATGAAACTGCGTGAAGTGCAGAACATAAATATGAAACGTATTTCGTAATATTTGCAACTCGCAAGTAGTGTTTTATTAACAAAGCATTAAATTATTGCAGAAGTGCGCTTCAATGTCTACTTATTATACCGTTAGTCATTTATTACTCTATTGGTATTTAGACCTCCGTAGGCAGAAACAGGAAGATGCTTTTTTACTATGACATTTGTTTATATTATTAGCATTTGTATTGATTGAAAAGGTCTTGCATTACAATTAATAACAAATAATTACTTAGCGATGTTTAAAAATACATATCTCTCGACAACTTCCTAATTTATTTGCATTAAGATGATAAATTGATCAATGGTTAATGAAGAATTTAACTGTGAGTTTTTTTTAAGTTAATTCAAGCGTATTGTGAACATAAAATATTATAAATATTTATGATTCCGCACAAATAATACAGGAAAAAAATATATATTTACTATATATAAATTTAAAAAAAAAATCATACATCAGTTAAATTTATGTCATTTCTAATGGAAACCTTGAACTTAAACTGTAGGCTCCTTCATTTTTTTTGTCGTTCACACACAGCACTTACGTAGTTACGTAACTGCTAAAGTAGTGGATACATCCTAGTGTGTAGTACTCTTCAGCAAATCACGGAAATTTGCATTAATCGATAATTTTGATGAGAACACGCGACAGATGAAAGAAGCTAGCTGTACTTTATTGTTCGCCGATTCATTTGTCGTCGTTTATATGATAATCGGATTGGAGCAAGACTATAAATATGTTTTTTATCCAACGGTAATTAGTAGATAACTTCGTACATTGACGGATTGACATTTCATTAAGAACATGAAATGGAAATAGTTATGAATACGTAAAAACTCGTTTTTAAACCCAAATTTATGAATCTCCTAATCCTATATCTATTTTTTTTTGCTATTAGTATAAAAGACATCAGTAACTCAGAATCTTTACATGAATATTTGTTAAATATTATAAAACAATAGTAAAAAATTAATCAACATTATTCTAATTAATTGTTCGATTAATTGTAAACTTTATAAAAAAAAAATTGATGTTTAAGAGATTTTATAATTATTAAATCTTGTTCTCAGTAAATATTAATTTTCTAATTAATTACATTTGATCGATGAAATTAAAATAGATTTATATTCGAATGCAATACAATTAAATTAATATTGATTTATATAACATAACAAAAATGTGTTTATTTGAATATTACAAAATGAGTTTTATGAGGAAATTTCGAGTCGTTGTATGCGCGAAAATTGAGTAACGAGATGGAGAAAGTCGATTTGGGAAAGTTCATTTAAGAATGAATAATTAGTTTTTTTTATCATTGCTTTAGTGGAAATTGCTGTTTTTTTTTAAATCGATGAAATATTTTGGAATTAACATTATTTATGTGTTATTTAAATTATACCGTAATAAAACGTCTGGAGTTTATATTGATTTTTTTTTGTAAACTTGTCCATTAGTCACTTATAGATGTATTTATTATACTAGAAACGAAATTTATAGAAATTCTTAAAGATTTCTAAAATTGTATTATTACAATTTTACTATATTATTAACAAAGCGTATAATAATTATGTTATGATATTTGTTGCAGGTAATATTTGTTATTACTTGTATAGTATTACAAGTCCAATCAGCTAGTAAATACAATAAGGATGGTGAGGACAATCCGTATGAGTTTGGCTTCACTATTGATGGTCAGCAACATCGTCACGAGAAGAAAGGTATTGCCTTGTCCTATACTAAGCAACGAACTGTTATATAATATTTAACAATTGCAGACGCGAATGGAATCATCCAAGGAGAATTCGGATTCATCACCGCCGATGGGGTGTACCATGTAACAGTTTACGCAACCGATGAAAACGGCAGCTTTAGAATATTGAGCATGAAAAATATTAAGCTGAGTCCACGTAAGTCTGATTTTTAATGAATTACCAACATCAATAAACATATCTTTTTTCAGCTTTGGATGGACCCGACGTAAAATTACCAAATACCAATCAATTCAGCAAGGATACACCGAAACAAGTTGCGCAACCGAAACCACTTACCGTTGCGCAACCACTTCCGTTGGCCATAGACCCGGCACCTGCACCAATCCAAGCGTTGACAACCCCCAAATCTCTGGAATTCACCACATTACCCACGGTCGGACCCGCTTGCGCCGGATGCGGTTACGTGACAACGCAAAAGAGCATCGACGGAAAACTTCCTTTCCAGACTCAGGCTTTCCTGAACCCTAAACCGGGCACGGTCGTCATCGGAGATAAACCTGTAGGCAACACAAACAGCAAACCCGGAAGTCAATTTGGAACGCCATCTGTGAACGTAAACGCTCCATTTGTCTCTAAACCTGCAAGCCCATCCACTGGTAACACTGCTCACACAAATGTAGGAACAAACGGAAATTCAGAGTCCTCCGGATTCGGTAACAATGGATTTGGTCAAACCTCTGGTGGTCAATTTGGAACGCCACCTGTGAACGGAAACACTCCATTTATTTCTAAACCTGCAAGCCCATCCTCTGGTAACACAGCTCACACAAATGTAGGAACAAACGGAAATGTCAATGCTAACGCTCCATTTGTATCCAACCAAGGAAATGTTAACTCTGGAATTCCTCAGCACGTTTCCGGAAACGCACCATTCGTTTCTAAACCCGCTTCCGAAACAGGATTCGCCCAAACTCCTGGAGCTCCACAAAACTTCGCTAAACCAGCAAATAGTGATGCTCCATTTGTTTCTTCACCAAACGCTTTAGCAATTCCTGCTGGCCCTGCTGGCCCTGCTGCTAACGCCAATCCTTTGGCAATCCCATCTGCAAACTCACCATTAGATCCAAGCAATCCGTCAGGCATTACCGTAGCTGGCAACGAAATCCTTATCCCCAATAATCCATCCATCAAGATTCAAGATAAATACCCGAATATGGTTGACGGTTTACCATCAGGCATCTCGAAAGACGACATCACCGATATTCTTTACAAGTTCAATTACACCATCGGTTTCCACGGTCACTACGAAAAGGGTTACAAGAACGGCGCCAAAGTTGGTGGTTACTTCGTGAACGATAGGGATGGAGTTAGCAGAGTTGTTACGTATGTTGCCGACGAGAACGGATACAGGCCTAAAGTGAAATTCATCAGGCTCGACTTGAATTCCGATCTCGTACCCAAGGAAGGCACCGAGAAGACGTTCGGATTGAAGAGCTTCGAATTCGTCTGGTACCCCATCAATTGATTCTAGCTTTAAGTTATTTATGATATTTAAATGTAAAGTATGGTATATTTTACCTATAAAATTACCTTTTTAATTTTTGGAAATTGCATAATAAATAATATGCGATTAATAATAATTGATCAGTGGTAATTGTATATATATTCAGTTTTAAAATACATTTGTATTTTGATAATAATAAGTAATTTTTGTTGTTTAATTTCATCCTCACTTTTATCAATTCCTCTGAACAAAATAATAATATATTTAAATTACTAGTTATGATAATACAGAAACATTCTGTTTTTAAATCAATTATTTTGAAAATGTTTAAAACGGAAATCTACAATTTGCGAACTGCTTGTGTGTATCAACATTTATTTTTATTCTGCATATGCAACCATATAAGCATTTATTCACAATAAATATGTAATACAAAAATAGCTAATTGTTACTAACAAAGAATACTATAAATTTTTTAAATTATTAAACAAAAAATGATAATATCAAGATTATTATAAATATATATATATAATTGATATTTGCTTATATAATATTGTATAATTTAGCAAAAAAAATCTTTGGAATATCAATTGCATCAGATAATATCTACAATAATGTTATTTAGAAATAGTATTTAGCCCACCTCACATACCACTGGGCAATCAAGCTTAAAATTTCTGGATTTGCTGCATGTAAGACTCCAAAGATATTGCGTGATTCGTTCAAAGCGTCTGGATTTTTTTTAAATTGATGCTAATGCAATTACACTATAAGATTTCATGCACTTGCCCCCTCTTATCGTGAGGGTAGAATAAGAAGGCCGTTTTGAAGGTATAAATAGTAAGCTTACTCTAAGCAAAGCATACTATTCCACATACATTGTGATAACACACAATCTATCAACACAAAATGAACACTTTTTTGGTAAGTTTATATTGATATATTTCATTTAATATTATATTATTTCATTTATTATTTAGATCTTTGTATCCATGGCAATTGTGGCTTCCGCATCTGCCTCAGTTCTTCTGAAAGGGATCAACTTAAATTATGAGGGATCTATTGGACCGAGCGGAATCGTTACTGGCCTTGGCGCTAAAGGACCTTCAGGATCTGTTACTGGAGCTGGTGCAGTTGGACCTTCTGGTATTGTCACCGGAGCTGGAGCTATTGGACCAAATGGACCCAACGGACACGGAATTATTGGAATTGAATCTTTGGGTATTGCACCAGGTCTGCTCGGTCTTAAAGGTTTAGGATTGGGACCAATTGGAATTGCTGCTCCATCGTCTAGTATCCTCATCAAAAGCCCAGGTCTTTTAGGATTGGGCTCAATTGGAAAAATTAATACTGGTCTTTTGGGACTTGGCTCAATTGGAAAAATCGATAATGGTCTTTTGTGGTAAAAAAAATCCTGAAGTCATCTCTTTCTAAGAACAACCATATGTCATTTATATCTATATTTCATGATTACCATATTTTGTGTATATCAGCTGAAGCCACTTCATGTAATAAGTTTCATCATTTTATTTATTTTTAAATATTATGAAAATGTGTGTCATAAATAAAAATATATATTATTTCTAATTATTTTTTATCTCTATACTATTTGAAACCTGGAATTTTCTAAATTTAGTCAAATTCAGTGAGAATAATTAGTTTACTAACACTAAAAATAACAACTCATATTTTTAACCAAGAAGTCGGAATTTAAATCACAAGGTATGATGCGAAAATTTAACTAAAGGTTCATGTGTCTTAAACTGTATATTTAAAGGTTGATATACAGACATATTATCAAAAAGTTTAATAAAGTCATTTATCATCTTTTATAGATACAATTAAGAAAGTAAAGACATTTTATAATTGAGTTACAATAAATAATAATGCAATAATTTCAATTTTCATTTAATCCTTTGTTGTCTGACGGTACTTATAAGAACCTACACATTTATGTCACTATTTAAATTATAAAGAGATATGAAACAGACCTAAATACTGTACTGGTATGTAATCCTTATATTGTATACACAAATGATTTGTTTTGCAATTGGAAACACCAAACCTAAATTCAAGTAATACTTATCACTTCTGAAAATTGATTCGTTTTTGTGATATACATCACTATAATTCATTTAAAATTGTCTAATTTTAATGTGTTTTAAAAGAAATCTAAAGAAACTTTTTATATTTTTTATTTTAAGGTAAGAAAGGGTTAAAAGGAAGCGGCAAACTTGCTTTTTATTGAGGTCGACTTTTTTACTTAAAGATCAGACTTTTCTACTTAAAACGTGATTGTTATATATCAGATTTATTGAAATGAAATTTTTCTATCATTTTAATAGTGTTAAATTCGAAATAATTAAATGTTTCAACGATCGATGCGGCCGCTGCTATACAGAACATTGCTTTGAACAAAAGTCTATTGGTTTACAGCCAAGCTCTTATAAATTTCTTGTAAGTATATAATTATTTAATTATAAAACAATAATAATAGCAGATGTATTTTAGTACATTCTAAAAATTATTTTTTTTAATAAATTGTTATTGCAAAGGTAAAGATTCACAACAGCAAAGAGGAGTTTAAATTTTCATACATATTTATTTATTATACAAATATACATAAGAAATACATTAATGAGAACGAGTTTCATGATACGCCAGCTATAGTTATAATTGATTGAGCAAGTGTTATTTGACTTTTGTTATGGCATAAAGAAACCATAGGATACTTAAATTACCATTCATCATTTTACATACATTTATAGAAAACGTGACGATTAGGAAAATAAGTTGTATGGCATAAGATGATTTCGTTTATGCCTAGAATTGAGTTTTTTTGTTTACCACAAAAGACCATTATCGATTCTACTAACTGAGCCAAGACCTAAAATACCAGTATTGATTTTTCCAATTGAACCAAGTCCCAAAAGACCAGAATCAATTCCTTTGAGAACAACACCAGACGTTGGAGCGACGAGTCCAATTGGTCCTAATCCTAACCCAATGGGACCGAGACCTTTCTCGATACCCAAGGAACCAATTCCAATGAGACCGTTGGGTCCATTTGGCCCAATAGCTCCAGCTCCGGTGACTATACCAGAAGGACCAACCGCTCCAGCTCCTGTGACTGATCCTGAAGGTCCTTTAGCGCCAATACCAGTAACGATACCGCTCGGTCCAATAGATCCTCCGTAGTTCAGATTAATCCCTTTCAAAAGAACGGAAGCTGATGCGGAAGCAACAATGCCCATGGCAACGAAGATCTGAAGAATACAACAAAATGCATAGAATAAATACAATCTAATATAAAAACTGAAACTTACCAAAAAAGTATTCATGTTGTGTAGATGTAGTTTGTGTGTTATCACAAAGTATTTGGAATTGTATGATTTTGCTTCATATGAGTTTAGTTTATATACGTTTAAAACGTCCTTCGGTTCGTTTCCTATTTTACCCCCACGATAAGAGGGGGTAGATATATTCATCAAGAATTCACATGAAATCTTATAGTGTGGTTGCATTTACATCAATATTTAAAAAAATATCCCGTTTACAGGTCCATAGAATCGAATCACGCAATATCCTAGGAATCTTACATGCTGCAAATCCAGAAATTTTCAGCTTGAGTGCCCATTGGTATCCGTAGTGGGCTCAATATATTAAAAATTAAATAGATTGGACTATTGCATAAACTAAATTCAGAACAAATGTAACAATAAAACCTATTTTAAAATCCAAAATACATAATTTAGTTCCGTTTTTAGCTTTGATTTATTACTAAATTCTTTCTAAGTATTACTAAGATTTATTAAAAATATTTTTACAGACTTTGTAATATTATATATTATACACAAATTATACAAATGTTAGTATGGTTTTTACTTCGTTACTTTAAATTAATGTCTGAACATGTTTAAAATTGTCATTGTAAAATGGGTTGCATACAATACAAACATATTTTTACATATAGAGGACTTTAAATTTTATAACTTATAAAATATTACAAGTATAAATCTTACTCACCGTTAACTTGGGTGGCCCTGGGCTAACATTGGTTGAGGGCTAATACTGTTAACTCAAGTTTGGATTAAAAAACAGGACTCTGGGCTGTAGCCCATAAAGACCATACCTAAATCTGCCCCCAATCTTACTGTAATATTCACTTTTTCTCTTGTGCGTGTAAAATATCAGGAGTTTACAATTGACTGTTATTAATGTACATGAGGGTTTTTATATTTGTTTATATCACAGCTATTTTTGGTAATATATTTATATTATTAATTTACTTTTTATTAAATTTTGTATCCAAATCCTTTCTAATTCGAATGTACTTGTCCATCTATTATTGCATTTTTAAACAAGTTTATTATTTGTTAAAATTGTTAATTTATTTATCTTCCTCTAACTGCGTCATAAGAACTAGTTTTTCCATATTATTGCTTTCAAAAATAACTGCGAATTGTCTAAACGGTCTTTAAACGCATTAAACAGTTGCGTTTATAACAATGCTATAAAATTTAAATAAAAAAAACAATAACAAAAAAATAATATAAACGTAATACAGTTGATTTACATACGCGTTTGAAAATTCTAATATGAAATTATTAATTGTATTATGCAAGGCAACAGGACAAGTATGGAAAACGTTAAGATAAAATGAACTAAATAAATATATCTGTTGTTTGCTGCTAAACAAAACAAGTAGCATGAAGCAATGGACGAGTAGGCGATGAACTTGAATCGTAATCTGGAGCAGGATCTTATTGAGTCACAATCTGTTATAATTAATGTAACCATATACATTATTTGTACACTGTACCATATGCAAATTACGTCCACCTACTTACATGACAATGTCTCAAAAGAAACACATACATTAGGTAAGGTAAGTTTTTTTTTTGTTAGCGGTAAGAAGTTTCGCAAATAAGTACATCACTTAAAAAGTTATTACTTTAGTTAACTTTATTGTTTTTGATATGCTTATCTAATGATGTATAAGGACAATATCATAACAATAAATATACATAAGAATTAAGTTAATATGTCCAAATGTCTATGACTAAAACAATAAATAATGATAATAATGATAGTATATATAGATGATAATTTATATTACATTGTATAGGTTATATGATTTGTATAAGTATTTAATACTGCAACAAATTATGTATGTATCATGTTTGAATTAATCTAGTGTTTATATGGTTTATTTTTGAATAAGAATAATGACTAATGCAGTAAGTCAAAATTTGCATACGCCAAATGTTCATAAATACCGAAAACTAAGAAACATTTATATGCTAAGTCTACAATGAAAAATTGAAGTTGAAATCTTTATGACTAAACGACATTTAATAATGATATTTTGATGCGATCAATAAAACTAGTTAAATTAAGATTATATATTAGTTACATTATTTCGATGACGTAACTATGATAGTATCAAACAAATCTCATACAGTCATACCTCGATTAACGAATACGAAATAACTTCTTTAAGCGATTCTTCTTTTTTAGAGATGAACATGCTATGACTATAATAAATTTTATTAAATATATAGTCAACTTAGATACAAAGTGAAATAACATGTTAAAATGTTATTGTTTATACTATTTTTCACTTTCATGTTATGTTATTGTATTTAACAATTATCGCTTAACAAAAACATTTTTTCTTAAATCGGTATATATTTTTATACTTTAGGAAGTTTTAACTTCATTTAATCATGTTTTTTCATCTTTGTTTGTTAACATTTTTTGATATGAAATTATTTAATTTCGTTTTAATTTGTTTTGTCTTCATCCCCTGACGACGACTCAGAAATAATCGATTTCCTAAGCACCTGATGGTGTTCACCACAGAAACGACCTAAACCTCCCCTAACCAAACCCTGCCAATTAGTTCAAGTGCTCCTCACTGTATACATTTACTTTGCATCATACTATACTGTTCTTCATTTTCTTTCAGCACATTAGCATAAGTGCAACCCATTAGCTAAGTTTTTGTTCCTTTAATATTATGTAGATTTGTCCTGGCTAAATGAGCGATAAGCTCACATCTACGCCACCTCAACAACAACAACAATTTCCTGTATTGTATCTTACATAAATAAAGTTTATTCTTGAATTGAAATTGTCTTTGTTGTTAACAAGTTTTCCTAAACCTTGTACTGAAAAATTATCTTTTGAATTCGATATATTTTGACTTTTATTAATCCTATTGATTAAGCCACCAGGATAAGTTTATATCTAATTTCCAGAATGTTGTAGTACATTTTTTAAATTTAAAATACATTTTTTTTATGTAAAAAGAGGCTTAAAATTTCGAAATTTGTCGTATCAAAGATTCGATATCAGAGGTAACGTTAACTGACTGTAAATATCAAAATCTAAGTAAAAATTATTTAAAACAGCAATGAAAAAATATAATCATATCAATTAGATAATATAAATCAAATCATGTAAATTATATAATTAGCTAAACCAAAATTATACCTATTAGTTTGATTAGTTAAATTACTAGAATTTAAATACTAATATTATTCAAGGTATATTAATGGTATAAATGTTGTTAAAGTTATGTTTATTGTTGTGAATTTTAAGTGATACGTAATGAATAACAAGGTATAATAGTATTTCGCTAATTGAAATATGTTTAGCATTGAGGTAAATAACTTGACGAACCCATTGTGGCATTAAAATTTAAATAAATGTGCAGCGTTGCGCAATGGCCAAGGATCCGAGAGCAATAATTATCCAAGCTGGACATGTTCACAATCGTAAATTAATCGCATGAGAATTATGTCAAATTGTTTCGCACGCGTTACGGAGCCATTTACGGCCATTTCCTGCAAATCAGACGAATTCAATGGATAGAAAATATATAGAAAACAAAAACGAAAACATAAACGTAGTGTATGGTTGTATACAAACTAATCACTTAAGTATCGTGTTAAGCCTGTCAAACGCAAGGAAAACATTGCAATTGTTTTAGTTGGAATGTCGCTGTGGAAACATCATGTGACATACGAGAGATTAAAGTGAAATCAAGCGTTTAGGAAAGACGGAAACGTTTTGAAGACTCGCAGTAATTAGATTGTAATTGGTACATTAATTTACTTTAAAATAGATTATCCAGACTTTCGTTCGAATCAAATTTCACGCCGAATGCACTTTCGAATTAGATTCAACCATAAAAAAATACGTTTTTTTTTTATCAAAATTGGAAACAAAAATCATGTTTCTTTATCAAAATATTAATTAAAATAATCTATAAGATTAATTGAAAAAAAATGATATGATATTTTAAGGGCAAAAAAGTTTCCCTAAAAAACCAATAAATCAAGATAACAAAAATATATCCAATAGTAATGAATAAATATTAAAGGAAAAAACTGTATCTGTTTAATTAAGAATTAAATTTTGTCTAAAAGCTAATGAATTTATTATTAATTTATTTATTAATTTCCTAATTTGGACCAAAAGGCTGGCGAGCGAACTTTTTCTGCGAAACAAACATTTTAGTGTAAATTCTTCAATGAATACGTATTGATTAATTTTATTGTGATTGCAAGGCGAGTTTAAAAGTTCATTGAGGGATTTTGATCCTTTCGATTATTCATACATGAGTCTTGCGTTGCGATTCTTCGCATTCTCCAATTTAACAATCGATTAGCATAGACCGCCAAAGTGGTGCGAATTATAAATAAAATCACGCAAGAAACGGATCCATTTTTTTTTTACAAAAATAAAAACAAATAAGTCCAATTTGTATATATTTAAACACCAATACTGAACCCATTAGTCTACGTTCATAACAATAAAAAAAATGTAAATTTATAATTATTTAAATATACGTAGGCACATTTCCTTGTTGCACAGTAATTTCACAATTGATACAGTTTTTTTTTATATTCACCATTATTATCATTAATATGTATTGATTAGTTTCCCATGTATATGAAATTCGCGTAGGTTGATCCGTATTTGGCGCAAAGAGCACAAACATATCGCAATAAAATAAATGAACAAACTGGAACTGTATCCGGATTCGAAATTGTTTTCACATTAATCACATTGCTTGGGAACCTTTCAAAATGTAATTACTTTTCACTTACAATCGAAAATATGTACGTATTACGTATATTTAACACGAAAACTATAAAAAAAATCGTTTAATTTGGAATTCAAAAAATGCTATGAAATTTAAACTTTATCGATGAATAATCAATAATAATAAATTTAAATAAGTTCAATTTATTTATAACAAGATAAGCAAAAATGTGTAAAAAAATATTGGAAATACCCAAACATTTCAAAATTAATTTATTTTCGATAAACATTCTTTTTTTATTGCAAAAGTAAAACAATTATATGTATTAAAAATAGATAAAGGGAAATGATATTCTGATTTACAATTTTATTATAAAATCAGATAAGATAAAGAGAAAATCTCTGATAAATTGAAGAAACTTTTGTTTAAATCCTATGTTAAAGCGCAATCAGCAAATAATGATTAATTAAATGACTGATTAAATAAAATAATCTAACACGTTCACAACTAAATGTGTTTATGAAATAATAATACAGAAATACTATTATAGTTTTGATGTTTGTTTTTGTAATCTTGTACATTATATTATCATCCTTTGTAAGAGTTGATATTTTATTATTATAATTAATATTAGATAATAAACATTTACAAATTTGATTACTAATTGCGGTTTACCTTATCAAAAATAACATGTGTATAGAACAAAATTGTAATAAATAATTTAGCCAAAAAGGTTTTATTATTTTGTTTTAATTAATTAATATTTTATAAATCTTTACTTGCATAAGCAAACAGTAAGAGTATGTAAAGTTTAGGATTTACAAGAATGCGCTTCATATATCTATGAAGCGCATCTAAAGAATTAAAATGCAATTATCGCCATGCAACCTATGTCAATGTCGTGACGATTTCCAAAAAGCCGGAAACGAAAAGTAAAAGGAACATAAGTATATAATGTTGATTTTAAAAATTGTAAAATCAGTTCAGTTTGTGCTTTGAAACAAATACATCAATCATCATGATCAAGGTTTGTATACATTTGTTAACATTAAAAAAAAAAGTTAATAAAAATATAAGTTTTATTAAAATTAAAATTTTGTGTTTTCTAGTTGTGCTTATTCGTCGCTGCAATCTGCGCAGCCAGCGCAAAACCTCTTGAGAATTCCTATGGGGTTCCGATCAAACCTGACCAAGAATTCGTGATTCCATCCACTTCTTACGGTGTACCGGATGTATCGAAGCCAGTTTACCCACCAGCAGTACCACCAACGCAGGAGCCCGTTTACCCACCAGCGGTACCACCAACGCCGAAGCCTGTTAAGCCATTCGAAGTTTACGGTTTACCAACGACCAAGAAGCCAACACCAAAACCAACACCAAAACCAACGACAACAACAAAACCAATCAAAACTTCGTACAGCTACGAATTGCCTAAGACCACGACGGTAGCACCGGTCAAACCATTCGTCGAATACGGATTACCTACGACCGCAAAACCAGAAGTGAAAACCACCGAAAAACCCATCGAAACTTCCTATTCCTATGAACTTCCTACTACCAAGCCGACGCAAAAACCGACCAAACCACATGAGGAATACGGATTGCCGACGACCTCTAAACCAGTTGAAACTTCGTACTCGTACGAATTACCAACTACCACCAAGAAAGTCCCCAAGCCTGATGTAGTTGTACCAACGCCTGAGCCAGTAAAGCCTTTTGTTGAATACGGATTACCAACCACCGCAAAACCAGAAGTGAAGACTACCCAGAAACCCATCGAGACATCCTACTCATACGAATTACCAACCACGACGAAGAAAGCGCCAACACCTGATGTAGTCCCAACTAAACCCTTCGACGTTTATGGACCACCAACCACCACCACTACAACAACCACTACTCTTAAACCCGTTCCAATTAACCCATACCCACCAACACCCGTCAAACCATACCCACCGGCGCCAGTCGATCCCGTCCCAACTAAACCCGCCCAAGAATATGGTGTACCATACAAATTCGTGTAAACCGTCAACAGATGCTACAGAGATATATATTTTTTTACATAAATTTAAAACACAGAGATGCTATATAGATATAGATTTTTATATAATATATTTACAAAAGATATTTTAAATTTTCTATGAACTTTGTACGACTATGATGAATAAATACATATTTTTTTATAAACTTTTGTTTAGTTCAATTTGCAATTGCAACATTATTATTGCATTGAAGTCCCACACGTACTTATGTCATATAAGCATACCTTACACGTACATCGGTACTTATAAATTCATATTGTTATTGCTAAATAAAACATGGAAAAAAAAAATATCCAATGACAAAAATTGGCGAAAAAAAATTCTTAAAAAACTAATTGCATTCCTATGAGATGCGCAATTCACTTACAAATCTTGCATAATTTTTGGAAGTTTAAATTATACATCAAAATTAAATAAATATAAAATTACTTATAATTAACTAATTACATACCTTTTACTCTCCAGTTACTTGTATCAGTAGCTCAAATAACACTTAGTGTAAGTTAATTAACTGGTACATTATTTACATTATTACACAAATGATACATAAGAAAATTACAAATTATAAGTCAAAATTGACAACTCAATATTAATGACAATATAAACTTTTGTTTTTATTATTATTATTAATTAAATGTCACTAGAAATAAATGCATTTAAAAAATAATAATGATTACAAGTTTTGGTATTTGTTAGAATGATTTCTTCCAATCTGGAAATTTATATATTTCACGACTTTATATTATTTGTTGCTCTTTGTCTCAAGTAATAAGTTTTTTTTAGTGAATATTACGATGAGGAAATTGGAATTTATGATACGTTTGTGTGTGGTATGAAAATTAAAATCAGGTTTCGACCACGCGCCGCCACGCGAATTTGTGCGGACACGCGGAATAAATCGCAATTTGCAAAAGTCCTTCGGAATACTACAAGAGACGCCTATAAGAAATATGTAATGTAAAATAGATCCGAACATTAAGTTTTAGATGCCAATTTGGCTACGGTAACTTATTTTAGTGCAGACCAGGTGCCAATTACAACCCACCGACTTTTGTACTAAATGCTTATTGAAACGATGGAAGCTTCCGTGTTATTGTTTTTAAAGAGTAACGAGTGTCAACAAATTTAGTATGAAATGTGTGGGTAGAATGGACTTTAGGTCCGATGAGCTATTGACCCAAGCGTTCTAAATTAACAACTATATTATGATTATCATATAAGTGAATGCTAAATACCTTTTCCTAATTTATTGTTCTTCTGAGTTTGGTCTTACGGATGGAGTCGACAAAGATTTCTATATATTTATTTTAATCTTGAACGTCTTCTGGAATAATAATACAATATGAATCAACTTCCAATTCTGGAACATATTTAAATAATAGTTCTTAAATCATTGTTTTTTTATTTTTGTTTAAATAATTATTATATAAAAATTGTTTAATATTACTTAAAAAATAAATTAAAACTAAAATTACAAATTTGTAGCAACAAATTTGGTGCTTCAATAGATATCCAAAGTTGATTACCTTAAATAACCATACATTCCAATTATAAGAGTGAATTTACTAATTAAAGTCAAAACTATAATTTTCAATTTGTGTATATAGCAAATTTGACGCTTCTGGTAGTAAACTGTCAAATTTTAACAATTGAACATTTAAGTCTTTGTCTTTTCAATATTTTCTATATAAGAACGAATACTCTAATTAAAGCCAATACTGTAATTTTTAAGATTCATCTAGAAGAAAATGTATAGCTGTTACCATTTTACTAAAATAAGGTGTCAAAAAAGAAAATTAATTTCTTATTAAAAAAATGCAATGTCTTCAAATCAGTAGTGCACATAAACCAAGTACACATAGTCTAATTAAAGGCAAAAATGTAGGCTTACTAATTTCTGTAGTAATCTGTCAAAATATAACTTCAAAATATAATTTTAAATCTCAATAGTGATTAGTCTTCATACTTTATAGTATTACTTAATAAATACACCGGCCAATTTCAATCATAAATTCAACCGGAAATATGAATTATAATATTAGATATGATGTTCTATGATGATCAAACACTTTCCATAAACAACACCTATAAGAGACACTGTATAAAAAAATTGGTATTAGTAATACATATATACAAATACACAATTTACATGTTTTTCTTATTCCTGTTGCAATTTAAATAAAGTTAAATCCAATGTGTTACGAAATCACTTAAAAAAATAATAAAAATTACACATACTTAATGACTATATTAATAACCGATGTTTTCAATTACTTGAGACACACAGAATTTCTATGAAGAATGTTAATAATAATTGCGTGTGTTTGGTTGATAATAATCCTTTAAGCGTGTATTAATGTTATATATTTAAATAAATGCCAATGAAGGTTCAGTAATGATGATGATTCCTATTCATCAAGTGCAGTTTTTATATTACGTGCAGTTTCGTGTGGTTTACCTTTCATGAATTTTAAAGTTCCTTTTCGTTATAGGAAGCATTATTTTATATTCTTTACTCTCGACAGATTCTAAATGAAAAAATATATCTATATAAAAATTAAAACAACAAACTTAAAATAATTACAATCAAGTCTTTTCATTCTTAACAATTTACATCAAATAACGTTTATTGCAACTAGATGGTAACTTTTCCCAGTTTATATTTATTAAAAAAAAAAATATTTAGAGTATTGAAAATAAAATTCAGCCATTTTCGATAAAATCTAACATACAAAAGCAATTAAATATTAACGATTCAGTGACCTATTTTTTTCAGGAAATTTCTCGTTTTTATTTTCTACCAAATACAAATTAGAAAAATGACTCTCAAATTACAGCAGTAAAAATATTACATAAGGCTACTGATAAAAGTATTTTCGTCATTAATATATATTTCTTTAGTAAAGTTAGAAATAATAAAAAAAAATTGTTAGAGACTTTGTTGCTTGATTACATAATAAAAAATATACACAAATGTATCAGAAAGAAATGAATTATATGCTATTGTTTTAACAACCTTGATATACTGAATGCGAATTAAATTTTTTATTAAATTATTGTATTTGGAAATTATGAAGCAATAGTTAAAAAGTAGAATTAAAATGTATCTATATTTTATTATATGTTTTTATGTTAAGAACTTTGTTGTGGTAATATAGTAATTGCATTAAGAAGTAAAATTTATAAAAAGTACAATTAAATGTTATATATTTTTATTCTAAAGATTGCAAAAATAACTTAATATTGAGTCAACGTTCTTAAAATAATACATGATTTAGTGTAGTGAATAATAAAGTACAGTAAGAATCAATGTACTTATAATTTGCGTTTGGTGCAAAATCAATTGACTCGTGGTGGGCACAATTTACAGTTTTCCTGTGGATGCGCGTGGGATGGTCGCGATTTCTCTTCGGACCCCCGAGTCCTGCGTGTAATGATTGGTTGGACATATTAGGATGAGAGGTGTGTATATCCAGAGCGCCTACTTCTTCTATCTGCCTGTTAGTTGGTTGACCTGACACAAGGACAAGAATAATGCTCCAGTGACAACAGCATACATGAACGGAGCAGCTCTAAATTGCATTTGCTGGCATTCCTCTACCAAGAAACCGCGCCATCGATAATCAGTTCCAATTTTTACTATGCTACACACAATACCCATAAAAAAGTTAAATAAATTGAAAACGCCCGAAGCGACAATATGCAGCTTGAACGCAACGAAAAAAAATCAATCTAGTCGAGATGAGTCTCAAATTTTTTAAATGAATTTATTCACCACGGTTTCTAAACTACTTCCTCATATTGTTTCAATAAAACCGTTTTTTTTACCAAGAATTACAAATCCTTGACCCCAAACAGAGATACAGCTTCAATGCAAAACTAAAATAATATGCAATTAAAACTCTTTCAAAGAACACGGAATTATAAGCGTATTCACTTTATTCTTGCAGATTACATCAAATTTTAAATAAATACAATAAACAGTGATGGAACAATCAGGGTGAATGAAAAAAATACGTTTTTTATTTAGATATCATTAAGTTCAGGAAACTCTATTGGCTATTACGAGAAGACTCGCCAATTTCGAAAGATATCATGCTGCTGATTTATAAAATCTATCAAGTCCTACGGAATACAGATGTGGGAAGACAGTAGCAAGTCTAATATTGCAACCATACAAAGATTCCAGTTCTAAATCCTAAGAAGGATCATTGGTGCCCCATAGTATATTACGAACAGGAGAATTCATGAGGATATTTAAATGGAAACAGTGGAGGAATCAATTATAAAAAGAATAGCCTATAACAAATATATTAGCTGTCAATCTTCTTGATAATAACTTAAAAACTCAGCGACTAAAGGGACATAATCCACTGAATCTTCTATTGAAATTCAATACCTAATCAATAAGTAAAAGTTTAAATTTGTCAATCGCTTGATCATTTACTGAATGTTTTTCTTATAAAATAGATTGTAAATATAAAGGATGTTAAAAAATATATTTATCAACACATGAAAACTTAAAACAGAAACTCTTCCTGTGAACCAAAAAATCAAATTTTTCTCAATCCTTCCAATAAAAAAAATATCAAATTCAATCAAATGGTTCATTATTTTAACATTCCTGTTACGCCACTGGTAATGAAATTTATTTTTCTTAAAGATTAATAAATGTATAAATAATATTATTATTCTCTACTATAGATAATTAGCAATTAGATATGAATCTTTTTGTTACAAACACATTTGATTTAATGAAATTGCAGAGTAATTTATCCACATATAGAACGCTGCTAGTCATCAAATTATCTATCTCAATAACAACACTGTTAATTGCTAGTTACATTTATAATTATATAGAAAAGTAAGTAGTATTTACTGTCTATGACCAAAAAACCTTGTAGTTGTATAAAAAAGTAGTACTTATTTAAGTATACAATTTGCATTTTAATATATTACGTATTTTTTTTACATAATTAGTGAATTATTCAACTTATTTATATTTTATATAAGTATTTTTTTATTTATTAT